GGCCCAGCCAGATAGCAGGATGGAGCCATGGGTGGCTCATCTGGGGAGGGGTGCTAGTGGGGGGCATGGCTTCCCACCACTGCATGTAGTCCTGGGGAGGGGTCAAGCACATAGGCAATGCGCCGAGGCACATGGGGGGGCACATACTCCCCCAAATTTGTGCGCCCACAGTGGAGCATGGGACTGCAGCCTGGTCAAACTGGCACTGGGCCACTTCCACAGCCCAGAAGGTGGGAGCCAGCACAGGAGGGTGGAGTGGGTTAGGGAGCCTTGTTGCTGCCACCACCACCAGTGCCAGTCGTACCACCACAGAGTAATGACCCTTGTGCCAGTCGTACCACCACAGAGTAATGCCATGCTGCCAGCAGATCGAGGAGTAATAGACCAGGGGTGGGGGGGATGCTGTCTTTGCCACCTCTCGCCACCAGCCACTTAAATATTTTTAAAAAGCAGGTAAATGTATTAGAGACATATTCCAAAAGATAAGATACCCTTAAATAGGTTTCCTCAATATTAGCAAGCCTAAATAATGTATGGATGAGAGTCCAGAAAAGATATCCATAATACCATTCCCAGCACATAGACTTACTCTTTCGCATGGCTGGCTAATAACCAGCTTGGCAACATGGACTTTTTCTAGATAAATCTCCTCTTGTCCCTTGGCTGTATCACATGGCCAAAGGATGAAGCCATAACACTGCAATCTCCCATTATGGTGTCCAGTGAGAGCCAATGTGAGCTAATTTCCTATCCTGATCTCTTAACTGCTCTGAACAACTCTTCTGGCTCTATTCTGTCCTCTTTTGTTCCCCCATTTGGTATAATGGAGAGAAAGTCTCAAACCTAAACCTTTTTATCAAACTAGTCACACATCCTGAAGTTCAAACAAATCACAAGATGGTTCTTCACTGACTTCACCTTTGCAAAATCATAATCAGGTTTCTTTAGTCAAGCTCTCTCCTATACCATAAAAAACAATCCCAGAAAACTGTTGGCCAGTACATATCAGCCAAAACCAAACTGAAGTAAAACTAAAATAAACATGTATTTTAAATATCTGTGCAGTTTTGAGTAACATTAGTGCCTGTTATATTTGTGATTAAAAATGTTTATTGGTTATCAGTACTAGAAAGAAGGATTAAACTAGAAACTAACTCGATCTAGTCATAATATCTGCAGCTGGTCTTCCAGGCCCACTGTAACTCGGTAGTGGATTGCCCTGGGAAAATACTGCAATGGAAGAAATAAAAAGAAATGGGGGAGAGAGATTTTCCCTATAAACATGCATTTTTCCTTTTGTTCCCTTTGCTCCCTTAGGCGCTTGTGCACACAGGTAGCATGCATGAAAATGGCAAAAGGGTAAACCTTTTGAGAGCTTCAAAATTCACTCATCAAGCAATTCTGATACTTCTAATAATTAATAAAGGTCCTAAAACTGAGATCAAAAAGAAATATATCTAAGCATTTATATTCAATTCCATGTTGTCTGATGACTAATTTGTAAAGGAGTGCATAAGTCTTTGCAACTGAAGCCAAAATCATTTGAGGATACTTTGATATAATGCCACAAAGGATATGAGCAGGAAGGCAGCAGAACTTGCAAATGGCTAAGCTCCATTAAAGGTGCTAATAAAAGAATAATGGAATTTCCTTGTACTATGAATAAAAAGTGTTTGGCACTGGAGAATTTAGACAAAAAGAAGAGTATCAAAGCTTTTGGTTCCTCTGTTGCTTTTCTTTATTAGATCTTAATTGATCTACTATTACATTTACCTTAAATTGTTCTAACCTTAAAAAGCAATATTCCCCTCAGAAATCCTGTCACTCTAATTTCCTTTCCTATTAACATTTATCAATTTCCCCCCGTCCTGAACATCTGTACTGTCAGACTAGACATATGATGCTAGTCTTTCTATAAAGAAGAGATTTCAACTTAATTTAATCTGAAATGATATATTCCACAATTTTAGCAATTACATATCTACTATTTGAAAATGCTTTTCTAAATTGTAAGTACTCGAGACAATTGGTTACTATGGAAATATTGCAGCAACAAACTACCTGAAGTTCTTCGGTCCATTTAAACATATATGAAACAGTTCTTAATTTCTGACACATAGTTATCTGCTGCATAGCACAGTGGTTCCCAAACTGTGGGTTGTGACCCCAAATGGGTTCACAACATCAGTAGATGAGGTCATGGGATGGAGGGCTGTGGGTTGGGAGTGAGGGGCTATGTTGAGGAAATAGGGCCATGCTGAAGAAATGGGGCCGTAAATGGGGTCATACTGAGGAAAAGTTTGGGAAGCACTGCCATAGCCGGTCATATCTTACCAATAGGGATGCCTGGACAGATATGCATCTCATCTAATAAATTTTTTATATACAAAAATTGCACATTTTCCAAGTATGCAAAAACCTTCCACTATACAAAACAGCAATACAAGGAACACAGATTTCATATTTCTGAGGAACAGTTAAAAGTTCCGATGTACTTGCTTAAAAAAGCAAACTCTTGGATATATATTCAGATTTGGGAGAAGCTCCCTGTCAACATCTTCAGAACCACCCAATATTCTCCTTTAAAGTCCTTTTTTGCTTCTTTGCTCTGAGGTCTATAGAAGCCTGACAACAATCAGGCTGTTGAATTTCTAAAATCACTGCTTATCATGATCACCAATTATGGTCTTGTGCTGCTGCTTGTTCCTATGCCTGCATCCGCCCACTGTCTCTTGACTTAGATTCTTAGGTTTTGGGAAACAGGCCATTGTTTCCCTTTAATGTTTATAATACAGTACCCAAAATTTTAGCATCCTGGGTTTATGACTAGGATTCCTAGGTACTAGGATGATACAAATAATGAACAACATTGTGCGTTTTCTTCCTTAGAATACAGTGAATACTGTGTTAAAGCAACCTTCTCCACCAATGCCTCCAGAATCAATAAAATTCATGGCTACAACTTAGTTCAAGATTTAATTGGCATAACAAGCTAACCAACATACTCAAGAGTTAGATGCTATAAATGAAGAAAAAAAAATAGGTTCATCCTAAGGTTATTTTAAAAGGTTTGGTATCAATCTGTAAATTACTCTTTAAAGAGATCACTCTGAGATTTAGATTGCACAAATACTAAATCCAGGAATACAGCCGTGCGAGACCGAGGTGAAGAAATTGAGTGATACATTTAATATAATATCACAAAGAAAACAAAGATTCTTTAGAACCTTTCAAGATATTCATAACTCCCTTTCTACTAACCAGAAGATAAGGTTACCTCATATGACTGAGATAGCTCTTAACAAAAAAGGCAGGTAGTGTATTTTTTCTTACCTTGTGATCATAAGGACTGTATGAATGAAACAGCTGGGATAGATCCTTTGTTCTTTGCTTTTTCTGTAAAATAACAATAATAAATCTATCAGAAAAATCAAAGGCAAAATGAAAGGAATTGCACATTTAAAAAGATAAAAACATGAATAGGTGTGTAATCTCCGTGTCATTAATGGACCTTCCAGCACAATGCACACTTTATGCACAGTAAGGCTATTAGAACAAAAAGGACATCATCTTAATAAAAAAAAGTATTTGCATATCTATGTAAGTGGAATGTGTAAGTATCTGGGATGTATTTTAATTTCTTCATGAGAAGTCATTTGCAATGTTCTACAACATAAATAACTGTACTCTTAGGCCTCAATTCCCCCAATAATCCAGTCTATAATTCTAGCGTCTACTTACACTCCATTTTACAGTTAATGGAAATCAATTTAAAGAACACTAATTTATTATTTTTATTAATGTTTTGGTATTAATGCTGCCACATCTTGATTGCAGAGAATTAATAGATGCCATGATATTTAATACCAAGACAGAACAGAATCTTTCTAATAGAGGTAACAGAATTCTGAGAGAGAAAGAAACCAGCCTCTATGCGCTGAATCTAACTTCGACTGAAATCAATTAATGACTTCAACTAATTTAAATGGAAGTTAAGTACATTTTCGCAGTTTCCTCCAGCTTGACAAAATGGAGCTGATTAATTACCTTAATATTTTTATACAGTGGTGTGTCACATAGAAGCTGCAAATCCTATTATGAAAAATTCCATGCTGATTCGAGGTGTGATGTTGCTCCTTTAGAAAGGGTGGAGCACTGCATGCTGAAAGCATCGTAAGCAGAGGACAGCTACATGCTACAACAGGGGTGGACAATTATTTCGGCTGGAGGGACACTTAATGAGTTTTGGTGAGCTGTCAAGGGCCACACACACAAAATCTTTCAGATTTACAAGTTATAAATACAAAACAAATCATATACTAAAAATCAAACATCTACTATAAAATATTTAATTTTTTTATTTCAAAAATAATTTTTGTCCCATTTTAAATGTTTTGAGTAGTGCATATAGAGGTGATTGCATAGTAGCTCATAATAAAATCTTACTCTTGCACATTGTGTATTTGGGAGCTGCCCATGCTAGGTCCTGGGAACTAGGCCGGGGGGGGGGGGGGGGAGGAGGGGCGGGGGGGGGGGGGGGGGGGGGGGGGGGGGCAAAGGACACCTGCAGCAGTGCTCGCAAGGGCAAAGCAGGTCTAGTCCGCCCTCCTCCCCCATCTGGCCTGGAGCTGTCTCTGCAGTGCTCACATGGGGCCAAGTCCCACCTGTTCCTTTCCAGGGCACCCCACACTGTACTTCCACCTGCCCCAGTCCTGGCCAGCATGCACAGCTTCCTGGGGGGGAGGGGGCGGGCTGCTCCTAGTGTGGATGTAGCCACCTAGGTACTGCTCAGCACCCCCATCTCCAGCAGCTCTTCCTCCTCCTGCCCCTGTTGTGCTGCTTGAGGCAGCAGGTAGTGTGGGGAAGGAAGTGGCCATGGGGACATGTGCTGGGCATCACATACCTAGCCATGTAGGGTTGGGGGGTGAGCTACAACTGGGAGGCTCCTGTCCCAGTACATGTGGCTCCAGCTCAAGGCCACCTCCAACCCACTCTGCCTGCCCACAAGTGGCTGCTCAAAAATTCCTAATTATTTCCCATAATAGCATAACTATTATTTTTAGTTAAATTTCAAATCCAGTGACTTAGAACTGAATTCTGTAATTTGAGTTGCTGGTACAAGTTTCTGAAGGTACTGCAGCTAGGATACTTAGGCCCCCTCTACATGTGAAGCTAAAGGCATGATGGGATCTAATGACCAATTCACACAATTGCACCTCCTGCCATGCCACGTCTCCCCTGCTTCTGTATCTCACATGCACCAGCAAGCCCCCACGCATCCCAGCTGAGGGGCTCCCAATGGGGGGGAGGGGGAGGAGAGGGGAGACACCTTGGGCTGGAGGATCACTGCAGAAGCAATCCCCTCTGCCCTGGGGGTACAGGAAACCCCCAGGGTTGGAGGATCCCTGCAGGATCCTGCTACACATGTGTAAATTAAAGCTTAATAGCAACCAGCTAAAAAGTTAGTACACATTTCTGAGGTCTAACTTTACAGCTCTTTGGAGCTTTTTATTGTGTGACAGCTACTTTGCATGTGTAGCTGGTCTGCGGTTAATTGCTCAATTAACCCATTAATTTTGCAATCCTGTAATATGTAAGGGGGGTGGGGGCTTAGAATCACTAAAGACATCCAATGAATACCACTTTTTTTCTGTGAGGTCAGTAAAAAAGTATTTTTTTTACTCAGTAGAACTAAAGGGTGAGTAGAATAAAAGGCTGTTGTTTCATTTGCTCTCTCTCTTCAAACAAGTATGGTGAATTTTGAGATAAAGTGGGGAGTATTTGTACAGCTGATTTTAATTAGCATAAGTAACACTGAATAAGATTCTAGCTGTTCCTCTGAGACTGCGTATGGGCTAACGGGCATCTCCAACATCTAGATTTTCAAAGCAAATTGTTGTTTTTGTTGTTTCTTTCTTTCTGTACAAACCTATGCAGTGTAACATCACCAAGGAAAATGTTTCCTTCAGTGCAGAAAATCTTTAGCAGCATTAGTAGCAATTTTATTTCTAAGTTATTAATTTTTTTCCCCATTCAGTTAATCAAATCTACAACTCTGGAATGCTTTCCTTATTGGTGTATACACACACACACACACACACACACACACACACAACTGGTAAACTGTTCTATAAATATCCCCAAATAACTGGTAATAATAACATTTTAAAGATAGACCTACATTGCTATTAACTGAGCCACTTAATATTATCATCTTGAAGTACTAGTATGCAAAAAGTAAAAGAAGAACGTCTTAGTTTGGAAATCAGAAATCTCTCAGATTTCAGGAACATACAGAAAAAGTACATTTCTTGTTTATCCTCATTAGTGATAGTTCCTGCCTTCTCACCCCTATGTTTTTCTTCCTCATGAATTGCATTTTATTACATTATTGTAATTGCTTTAAGAAAACCAATAAAATTATATGACAGAAAAGCTAGCTGCAGCTCTCTCACACCTGGCAAACTGCCACTGATCCCCTGGTTAGACAAAGTTTGGCTGCCCTCTCTCACACACAGTATACATGCCATCTTTCCTTCACAGCATATATGCTGTCTTGCATTCCTCCATTAGAGGAAATTAAAGTTTCTTTCCCCACTCACAAAAGGTGGAAGTTAAGGTCACTCTAGGGAAATAGAATTGTTTCTTCTGAGGAAGTATTGGGAGCTGCATAATTAAGGTCATAAAGTCACACATGTGTACGTCTGTGTGTGGGGGAAGGGTGTCTTAAAAAGAAAAGTATACTTTTTTCTTAGAGAAACAGAGAAAGAATGAATTGTGTGTGCTGATTGGTACTCATGTTGTTGGCTACCCTTGTAAAGGTGCTAATGCACTACAGTGATGAGCTGCTATAAGAACCAAGACAGACATTAACAAAACAGAATGTACTCATTGCCTCAATCTTATTTCATCAGTGCTCAATGGGACCTTATATACATTCAAATATACATGCGTGTGTGCACATGCATGTGCACACAAATTAAATACTGCTGCTTTAATATATTTCCTACACAGTCACTCCAGTGACAATCACTTGTTATGCAGCTATTTCAAAATACATAGCTGATGTCAGGTAGTGCTAAAGCAGAGTGTATTGCTCAGTAAAATCTCAGTTGCTTTTAAGCCACCCCCCAAAAAACAAATAAATGAATTAAATAAATTAAAGCACAACACGTAGTAGGGGTGCACTGATAAAGATTTTTTTGGCTGATACCGATGGCTGATTATTAATCAGCCAATACCGATCCAATAGCCAATATGCAGCCCGGCAGCTAGGACAGTAGTGTTGGACTGGTAAGTCGGGGTGGGGGAAGAAGGGATGTGGGGGAGAGAAAGGGTTTGGGGGGAGCAGATCGAGGCCCCCCAAGGTGAGGGTGGGAATAGGGTTGGGGCAGGGGGGCTGCCCAGCCAGGGCAGGGTGGGGAGTGGGACATGAGTGGCTCACCTGGGGGGCATGTGAGGTTGGGGGGGCAGTTCCCTGCAACTGTGTGCACCCCTGGGGAAGGCATGTGGGGCATGTAACCCTTGGATTTGTGCATGGGGCAAGGCTTTATGATCTGGGCTTGGAGCCAGGGGCTGTGCTGGCTTCTTCTTGGTGGGGGGGCTAGACCAGGGCTGCACTCAGGGTATGGGGGCAGGGTGGGCAGCAGCAGCACTTGGGTGGGCGGGCTATAGTGAATTCTGGGGTGGCTATAGCCCATTCCATAGCCACCCCTCCCAGCATTGCTGCCACCCACCCAGCCCCCGCCTGCCCCGAGTGCAGCCCTGACCCTGCCCCCCCCCCACGGGGGAAAGGCACCACTCCCACCCCCACCCCAGATGACCCACTCACAGGTCTGTCCTGAACCCCACCCCACCCCACCCTGGCTGGGCAGTGCCCACCTCTACCCCTGCCCCTGGCCCCAGCTCCACTGCCTCCCTCACCATGGGGGTCTCGATCTGCACCCTCAATGCCCCTTTCCTCCCCCATGTCACTTCTCCTCCACAGACTTAGCAGCAGGACGCAGTTCTCAACGCTGCCAGGCTGCATTCCTGGTCATGTGCATGCTGTGGCTGTGCACATGCAAATGGCATTTATCCGTGACATTATTGGATACGCTGCCAAAAAAAGACAACTGCCGATAATGTCAATTTTCCTTTTATTGGTGCCGATCTGATATGGACCAATATAATTGGTGTACCTCTAACAGGTAGCACTTGAGATATTTCTTCAAACTATTAAAATACTGTTGAATATTATGTAAGATCCATTTAAGATGTCAGTGGTGAACCAAAAGAAACTACTGGTATATTTTAGTTTAATCTCACTAATGTACATTCATTCAAGTTACACCAACGGTGTAAATAAGTTGGTGTAAATAAGTCAGCACAGGAGCTAGTAATAATACATCTCATGT